CTGTTTTGTTTGGATATTCAAAAAAAATTTCTGTCCCACTGGCTTAGTGTTTTTGAGATATAAGATCATATACGGGTATATTTCTGTTACAATATGTATACGGGCATAAACCCAGTACATTACAAATTTCTTCGTTTTTCAATTCAATATTTCATTTGAAAATGTCACTGTGAGATTAAATTGCTACAAAAATATACTTGTATTTACCTAAGTATATAAATTAAGTAAAATTTCTCAAAACTTCATGATATATAATAAAAAAACTAAAATCATTCCAGGATTTTTTCTTTATTATTAGAAGGAAAAAAATAAAAACTCCCGCTATTTTAAATTTATTATTGCATAAATTTTTTTTTTACATTTTAACTTATAATTTTATTTTAGTAAAAAAAACATGCATCAGTTTTTTTAATAGTATGAGAACATTCAGCAGATGCGCACTCTTAAAAAACAACACAAAAAACAAAAATAATTTTGTAAGACGATTTAACACATACAATATTCCTTTTTAAGGATCAAAAAGGATCCAAAGTAAAAGAAACATTTTTAAAAGATTCTATGTTTGTACATTAAAGATGTCAAGAAATTGTACATGCAATCGCACATATAAGGATAAATTTTGTAAATGAAATATTCTCAGGATTCGTTTTTAGTAACACCTTACCTAATCAAATGGTATAGATAATAATCTTTTGAATAAAATGTTAAACCCTTTTTTAACTTTTTCAAAAAATTTTAAAATTCAATAACATATTTTTGTGTTTTCAATGTCTTCATTGAAATAGATTTTATTTTAAAATAAAGTCAAAACAATGAATTGTTTTAATGCAGTCTGTTGTCACAACATTGAAAGAACATTAACTGAATTAATATTTTAAAGCTACACATTCCAAGTACCAGTTTTTCGATATTCCTTTGCAAGCATAACCCATACAGTTAATGTAACTGAATCTACAATTTTCTAAAAATTTTTCACACTGGAAAAATTCAGCGCATCATACAGAATGAATGTTGAATGTGTTTATCTGAAGATATAGATCTGAATTATGCAATAATTGAATATATACAATTCGTTGTTTTTGGATTGCATATAATAAGGTGTTATAAAAGAATTACTGCCTATTTTAATTTATGCAAGTACTATAATTAACCTTAAAAAAAGCTGAACTTTATTATCATAATAGCTAATTATTTATAAAAGAAAAAAAACATAAAAACATAATTTTTTCATTTTTTAATTGCAACACACTATGTGGGTGTAATTAACTAATTACAAGTTTTAATTGTTCAACAAAAATTTGAAATATTATTGTATGTGTATTTTGAATAGTCCCACGTTAACAATAACAATTTAAAAGTATTAAACAGCAGTATATTATAATTTGTAAAAATATGTATGTATACTGTATATAATAATTGTTAAGGTTAAACTATATATGTACATACGAAAGGGAAAAGTACCAATATCTTAAATTTACAATATATAAAATTTTTTAAAAGTATTTTTTTTCGAACTCATGCAAAAATAATTTTCTTAAGTTTTGTAACTTGTATGTAGTAAATATGTTAATATGTATGTATGTAGAAGATATACAGTCGCATATTAATAAAAACATTAAAATACATGGTTAATTGCAAGGCGCATGTAAGCAAAACTGTAATTTCTCAATTTTTTTATACCATTTTGTAACGTTTAACTGTTTAACAACTCTCATAATCACAAACATTTTTGGCTTGTTTACACAACCTAGATTTACGCTAACAAAACCTATAGACTAAATATTTAATTCATAATATAAAACATCTCTTACCTTTACACATTATTACGTTATTCCTAGTACAAATTTTAGCGAAAAATTTGGTTTTGCAAATTAATGGGAATGGATAATTGCACAACCCTTATAAATGCACAACAAAAATTGAGCTCAAAAAGGTGTGCATATAAGCGGGTTCGAGTGTACCTTCATATATAAATACATACATATATATTATGAATGTATTTATGTATAATAATTAATAAAGTTATTAGCCATATCTTCAAATCTTCAATTTATTTATCATATACATACTTACCTATGTAGGTACGTTTTGATTCTCTCAGTTTGATTTCACGATTTTTTGAAAAATTTGAGTTGCTATTAAATAAAAATAAGTATTTTATGTACAAAGTAGATCATATACATTCTTTCTTTTATTTTCTAGTCTTGAACTTTGATATTATGGGTTGCCATCAGTTAAGTAAATTTTCATGTACTGTAAAAAAAAGCCTTTCAATTGAAATTAATTTGAAAGGGAAAAATATATTGTAGTTGGATTATAAATAATAAGTAAGTATGTATTTTTTAACATAATTTTTTTGATAGAAAAGTAAAATGGAATCGAAACAATATTGAATACTTACCACAATGTGATGACATTTAAAAAAGATGTTTAAGTGTTAACAATAAGTCTTGAGCAAAGCCTTTTTGCTTATAAACACAAAAATCAAATTATTTTTTGAGTATGAAATCATCCGACTACTAAATCATTCCAAAAATAATTTCAAATGATTTTCAATTGCCGCAGGCAATTCGTCAATTTTTTTTTTTGTTGAAAATCTAAAATTTTCAGATTGTAAGTCTATGTGTTCGAAGTGTTGGGCAATTTTGAAGAATGGACTGCAATTTTAAAGAATGGACTGCAATTTTGAAGAATAGACAAAAATTAACTGATAACTGGCAATTCTAATTTTTGTTTCAGTTTTTCTTAATAATATTTTTATCCTAAATATTATTTTCTTTTTTAGATCAGATTTTTCATATCTATAATATTTATATATAAAATATGCATACCTTTACTTGTATATAAAGGATTTCTTTCATATTATATGTAACAGAAAAAAGGTAGGTAACATTTTATAAGCCACGGGAAACTGCAATAAAATAATCAAGTTAAAAATTTTCATATAGCATCCCATATTAGTTGTATTTTCGATATCTTTTTGCTTAAATGAAAAAAAAAAAAACAAAATTTAATAATAAAAGAAAGCACAACATAAGAAAATTAAGCACTTATGTTTTATGATTATGTTTTTTGATGATGATTATGATGCGCACGAAATACACAATATAATATGGTTAATGTTGAATATTTACCGCGATCTGCATTCATTTATCGGACTTTTGAAGTAAACATATACATTTGTATATAATATATCTCGAGATATTTAAATATTATAGAATATTTCAGTATAAACATGGATTTCTTATATAAAAACGATCCTTATTGTGAATAAACTATACGTGAAAAAAAAGCAGAGAGCAGACAAAGAAAAAAAAAAAAAAGAGTTCCGTCTCTAAAGTCTGTGAGATTTTTTATTTTTGATATTTTACCATATCTTTATAGTTTTACTACCCAGTTAGTAATATTAAAAATATGATGAGGAGCATTTTTGAGAGTAACACGGTCGGTAATAATACTTTTACCATGACCCCGAAGGGTAAATTTTAGAATGATGGAAACCAAAAAAAAAAAAAAACCAGAACCAAGAGGGTTATATACCTGTTCTCTTTTTAATTTAATTTTTCTTTTCTTGTATTTTAGTTCGGTTTTAATTCAACCTTTTTGTGATCTTATGAAGAGAAACGTTTTTAGAAATAAAAACGACAAGATATGAGATTTTTGTAAAAACATAGGGAAGATAAAAAAAAAATACTTAAAATTCACTTGTTTCAATTTCATCTGAACCTGTAATAACTCTTTTTCTTATTTTGATATTTTTATTTTGGTATGTTCAAGATCTAGTTCATATTATGTTTTTTTTTTGTGTGTATAAAGTGCAACTGTTAAAATATCTTAAGGGCATTTTCTGATTAATTTCAAAATACTAAATGAGTGATGTTTAGATTAATTAAGTAGTTGTATGTCAGCCAGCATTTTATTATTTAATTTTTTATTTTTCTAATTTTTGTTTTTTTTTTACAAAAACTTTAATGTTTTTATTTTGATTTATCATTTTCTTTTGTGAAATATATGTAGCCGAAGCGTTAAGAGTTGGCACTATTTAGTTAATTATTTACATTTGTATATTTTATTTATGCAATTTTATGGCAATTTCATGGAGTACGGAACGATAGAATTTCACCTTGAGGAGAAGAATTGGAGAAATGATATTAATATGACAAAAGTCAGTTAGTATAAGCATTATAAGCAGTTTAAAAGAAACTATAATGAAGTGAAAGAAATATAAATTAGTCTTATGAAAGAAATCAATTTTAATTACTTAAATTTAGTTAAATTTGTAGATTGGTTTATACAAAATAATATTGTTGTGTTATTTGTAATAACAGAATTATTAATCTTTCTATGGCAAGCAGTTTTTAGTAAAGTAAATTAAAAAACTAAAAAGAAAATTTCAAAAAATCTACCTTATACTGAGCTTTTTACGAATTTGATTAATATTTTTATTCAAAAAATTTGTTTCAATTTTAAAAATAAGGCTAGAATTAAAATTTGCATATTTAATCCAAGCTGCTAAAATAAGTCAGTTTCTTACTGGAAGTTTTTTTTTCAATAACTATTGAGGGTTTCATTAGTCTCGCTTAATATACTTAAAATTTTATTGAATTTTAAAAGCATTATATTATTCATACGCAAAATATATTATTTTCAAGTTTCATTTTATTTTCAAATATTAAGAATAAGTTCCTAGTTTTTCAAATTACATGATTTTTATTATACAGAACATATCTACCAAAAGTGTAATATTAAATATAGATTTAAAATCAATGATTTTCAAATTTATTAAAATCTAAAGCTTTCTACTTAATATAATCAAAGGTTTGTTATAGAGGAAAGTCAAATATTTAATTAAAAAAAAATAAACTGTAAACCTCACATTACTAATGATCTGCTTATTTACATTTTTTTCAATATTATGTACGTATATAATCGTATATGTATTTCTAAAAAAAACCGTACTCTTCATTAATTTTACAATAAATTCTTAAATTTTAGAGTGATACAAAAGGGTTTGTTTATGTCTATTATTTTCATAAATAAAAATTTTTTTTTTTGTTGTTGAGACTACATCAATATCTTAACTTTAAGTTTTACTTCTTATTTTCTTTCATAAAAAAAAATCAACTTTTCAGTTATTAACTAATCATAATCTACATAATATATTTTCATAATTTAATTTATCTAATAAAATTTAAATATCTTCATCATTCGGTTGATAATAACCGATACCAGTATGTGCTGGACTTGGTGCAGGACTCATTGCCGGACTTCTTGTTAATGGTGTTGCACCAGGACTTTGACCTAATGGTACTACAAGTGGACCAATCGGTTTACGTGTTCTTGGTGCACCTCTATATCCTGAGTTTGGTGGGCCACCTGGCTTTAATCTTGGTCTACCTGGTCCACGTTTTATTACTGGTACAATTGTTTCAAATGATTGTTCACTTCCACCACCATTGGCACTTATATTTGAATCACCTGAAATATAATTAAAAGGTAAAAATTTTTATTAATTAAAATTAAGTTAAAAATTTTTATGAAAAAATTTTGTGTATTAAAAAATAATTTTACATTAGATCTATTATATTATCTTATCTTAAAATAATAATTGAATTTAAATATAAATTGATGTATTATATGCTAAGCTTTTTCAAAATTTTAAGAAATTGACATTGTTCTGAATTAAAGTTGTAATTTAAATTTCCGAATACCATTTTTGATTAGAATCAACAAATTATGGAAGTAAATTTTAAAAACTCTAACTTTAGCGTGAAATCAGTTTCAATTGCTTTTCAGTCGTTCAGACCAACACATTATGAACATACACTTATCAAACCTCACATTTATTAAATTAAATCATATAAATCAATTAAAATTATATAATTTTTCAACATTATAACGTATTTATTGAAATGAATGTAACCATTGTATAATTAATCCTTAATTAATCTCATTATTGAAACTTTTCAACTTTTAATTCAATTCTCAATATTTTAAATAAATACTATTAAAGAGCACGTTTTATAAATGTAGAAAAATTCTCCTCACGTTATTAATTACACGTTATATATAAATGCACCTTAATATATAAAAAAGATTATATATGTACGTATGTATGTATGATTAAAAATAGAATGAAAAACAGAAATGTTAAAAATTTTTGAATCGCTTTGATAATAATCGGATCAATTATTATTATTTTTATTTCTTTTTGATATTTTATAAGCCCTTTGATTCAATAAAATTATGATGCTTTCTTATTTTCAATTAAAATGAATTTAAAATGTTAAAAGTGCACTTATAACATAGAAAGAGAAATAAATAACGCCACCATATCGAATTGATATCATTTTATTTATCCCGAAATTCATATAGTCCTTTAAAAGAATTGATTGTGTTATTATTTTTTTCTTTTAATTTCGTTATGAACACGAGGACAAGCGCTTATTATTTAAAACGAATTTTTAATCCGATTTCAAAAAGATTTTGTTTTTTCTTCTTTTTTTTTCTCGTTCTTTTATTTCGCCTAAAAATATCACATAATTTCAATTTAAATTTGTTTGATATTTTTGTGAATTTATTAATAAATTCAATCAGCCAAAAATATTCGTGCTAATAGAGATGTACGTACTACATAATATTTATATAATATAACGTATATAAATAGTTTAAATATGTAAAACGAAATTTTATGTAATTCGAAGGATTTGCCAATTATGTTGTATAAACGCTATACTTATTGATGACTTTTTTTTTCGAATATTGTAACAATGTTACGCATGAAGCATATGGTCCTTACAAAAATACGTTCAAACAAAAAAAAAAATCCGAAAAAGAAAATCAACTACTTATTTCCATTTCAAAATTAATTTTGCGTTTTTAACTCAAATTTTTTTTTTTTAATATTTTCTATAGTATCAAATGGCAAAAACCAAAAACCATTATTGTGATTGTTACAATTCAAAAGGGATTACATGTTAACGGTCGGCATTTCGGTGATATATTTATTCATTTTGATTAAAAAAAATATGCAATACAGTAAATTTTTGCAAAAAAAAAAAAAAAAAATAGAAAGGACAAAAGATCCATTACATTGTCCTGAAATTAAATAAATCCTTTTTTGTTAAAATTTTAATACCAAATTATTATGCGGGTGAGAAATTCACAATTTTTGTATGACATAAAAAAGACAATTAAAAAAAATAATGGGGATAATTTATTATTTAATAATTTTTAATAATTTTTTTTTTTTTTTTGGGAACTATAAATGGAATAATAAATTAAAAATTTTATTTTTGAAATTTATTCTATAATATTAAGTAGAGGGTTTATAATTAGATACCCTCTTTGGTTTTAAATATATTTTTCAACTAACTTTTATTTATTATGTCATTGAGACAGAAATTTAGCATACAATTTTAATAGAACATATCTATATTTTGTATTATAAACGGTTGGATCAGCAAATGAAGCGACATATGCAAGAAAATAGACAGAAAAGTTAAGAATACGAGTCGTACTTTCGAGTTGATACCTTCTCTCTTAGAGGGAGAAGATAATATAATAAAAGTAAACATATATGAGTTGGACTACTCTGTTTCGTTTACATCACACGCTACAATATTTTATTTCAAGAACTTGTAAAATTTATTAATAGTTAACGATATAAGATTAACCAATTACAACAAATCTCTTAATATTTTTGAAGCTTAATTATTTGGATTTTGATTTCATTTTGCAAATACTTAAAATTTTGGTTCAATGAAATATAAAATTAAAAATGGTTTTTCAAAGTCTTCAATCATATAACAAAAAATTTAGAAAGGATTATAATTTATGCATATAAAATCTTAAATTTTATAAATCTAATTAACGCATATATTCAACAATAAATAATTATTTGAAATTTTTTTCTTTAAGTAGCCATGTAGTTGAACACTTGTAAAGTGAAACTAGTACAATTTTCATAAAAAACAAATCATGTTATTGAATATACTTAGCTATGTAGTTGATTTGATAAAATCTATATAAAACATAAATATTAACAAGTTAACATAACATTTGTAGCACAACTATTTCAGAATAATTACAATTTTTTTTTTTTTGCATTTATTTTTCTGTATATTTTTAATACAATTAAAATGACTTAATTAAGATAAATTTATTTTTACGCCATATATTTTAAAAGAGTTAACATTTTTTTTTATTTCGAATAATTAAAAATTACAAATTTTTTTTTTTTTGTTTTCTAGATCATGCATTTTTTTTGTGTTGTTTTTGAAAATTAATTAAAATTCAGAGAAAGTATATTGAATTGGTATCATTGAAAAATATATATGTATAGCAAAATATAATATACAATATGAGTTGATGTTGTAAGGTGGTCGGTCAAGAAATTAATCTGAAACTTATTAAGACTTAAAAGTATCATTTAAGTGAATTGTGGCAAAAAAAAAACACATGAAGAAAATAAAAAAAAATAAAACAGTTTAAATGCGATAAATTTCAAGGAAACATGGAAAAATGATAATAAATGAAGCTGAAAATTAGGTCTGAAATCAATTTAATGAGAATATAGTTCCACTATTATGAAAAAAATTGTTTTTATAGTTTTGCATAATTTCTTAATTTAATATTTTTTTAGAAAGGCTTGTAAGAACTATTGATAAATTTTTGTACAATAAAACTATTAATTTCTAGAGAACATTATTGGAATACAGGGATATTGAACAACAGGAACTTTGGAATATTTCTTCTTAACCCATTTAAGTCCCAATGTATATTAATGTATATTGGTACAAATCCAAAATTGGTTTGATGCAATATAGGGAATGATGCCGTAATACAGGTGTACGCTCTTAGAGATCAAAATAATCAAATATTTTTAAATTTTTATTCATTCATATACTTGAGTAATCCACTATGGTCTTACACCTAATTTAATTTTAAAATTTAATAAAGAATACAATGCGCAGACACTTTTATAATTTTATAAGAAAACATACAAAGTAATGACATGCTGGCAATTTTAAAATTTTTAAATTAAATCACTTAAAATATTGTAAAAAAAAAAATAGAAAATAAAAAAAAATTTTTAATAAACTTATTCGAACGTGAGATTTGGTAATAAAATATTAAATTAAACATTTTCAATTATTTTTATTATTTTTTATTATTTTTCTTTAATTATTATTATTTTTTTTTCGCCAACAGTAATTCAATTAAATTCAATTAAGTAATTCAGCTCATTTATTTTTGATATCTTCATAAATTTTAACAAATTAACACGCTTAAGTTAGCTTAAAAATTGCATTAAATTTGTGTCAATAAATTAAAAATTGAAATGCAGTAACCTTTTTTTTTGGTTAATTTTAGTTAAAATAAAAAATAATATGAAAGGTGATTTATTTAGGTTAAAAATTTTATGTGTATATGTGTATATGTGTAATTATTTTTCAAAATATAATTAATGATTTTTTATGCTAATTTAATAATTATAATCTGATTTCGGCGATTTTTTGGTAGCTCAAATTTTATAAAAAAAATGGCAAGAATTCAAAAAATTGAATGTTAATCTATATTAACAAGATTGTATAATTAAGTGATGTTGATTTTTTTTTGTGTAAATAATTGTAAAATATTCTAATATATTTAGAAAATAATGTTATTAATTTAAATTTTAAATAATTTCCAATTTGATTAGATAAATTATAATTTTAATTTAAGTTGTCTAATTTTAAGTAATGTTATACGTATACATGTATAAGATTTTTGTATTGAATATTGCCAAAAGCAAAACGCATACTGAAATTAGTATTTATGTGAAATAGGAATTTATTTCTTATATAAATTCTTTTTGAATATGAAAAGCATCTAATCCGGCCCATTTTCTAATATTTCTCTTCATAATAGCAAAATTTCTTCCCTTAAAAAATATTATGAATTCTGATCACCAATAATGGTAGTATTTAATTGTATATTTAATGTAATCATCAACTCTTAGTCTCATATTAAATATAATTTAGTCTTTTAAAAAAACTATGTATTAAATATTTAAAAGAAAAGTATATATTTATTGTATTTATACCTGTTGGGGTAGCTGGTGTTGATTGAACTTGTAATGTTATTGTACTACCTGTTGGTGTACCTGGTGTACCATCTGAACGTCCTGGATTTGTTGTTTTACCACCACGGCCAGAACCACGTGGTCGACCACGTTTCGTACCACGTGGATGATGTCTTCTTCGAATACGACCATGTGCGAATGATACTGAAATATAATCAAAAATAAATAAAATTAATAAAAAATTTGGGACTAATTACAATTTTTTAATTTATTTTTAAATATTGCTTTATAGTTAAAATTAGAGATTTGGCACTTTTTCCTAAAAGAATTTTTTTTATTAAATTTTTATTCTTTTAATTTCTAATTAGGACGCGACGACTATATTATGTGATTGAATTGTGATTAATTTTATAATTTATAAATATTAATTATTTCTCTTAGCATTGTTATATATGTATGTATGTATGTATGAAAGTGCATTTAATTTTTTGAAAATTTCTTATTGAATTGATCAGTTTATTAAGTGTGCTCAGTTTCGTATGTACGGAATCACCCATTTTAAACAGAGCTATTTTTTTGTTTTAAATTAATTAAAAAAAATTGAAGAAAAGTCTATATTTAGGGAAGCTAAATTGTTGAAATCAAAATAAATGGTTTTGTATTAAAATTGTCTTAACCATAAATAAAAATGGTAGTTTAATAAAAATGATGGTACAAACGGATTAACTTTAAAAATATAAACGCTCTTAAATCTTAAATAAGGTTATCAATTTAAGATTTAAAAATTCATTAGTAATATTCGCAATAACGCAACCAATGAAAAAATACTTACATATAAAAAATTTTCAAAATTTTATAGATATCAAATAATCAATAAAAACAAGACAAAAAAAATGGCCATTTTGAGAAGAACAGTTTTTAAAACAATTTTTCATTTTCTAACAAACGAATTTTTTTTCTTTAAAATTTAACTTTTTATCTTAATATATTCGGAAAAATGTGTACAATAAATTTAAAAACGATATCATAATCTTCTGTTGCTGTAATGAGTACAGTTTAGTTAATAAAAAGTAACGAGTTAAATATGTATGTATTAAAAAATGACCATCGCATCTTTGTAATATTTTGTTATAATTTTCTACCTTTTATTAAATGTTGCATGTTCGTCCGTTTTATATTCATTTATGTAATGTTGAATTTCAGGTGAAACATTATTTTATTACTTGTAATAAAATCAAGATGAAAAAAAAAGGAGAAAAATATAATAATAAAAAAAAAATCATCACAACGAACACGCAATTTAAACTTTCATATTATGACTATATTTTTTTTTTGTTTCATTTAAAATATTAAAGAGTTCCTTTTTTCATCACCTCTATAATGTATCGCACATTATTTGTCGTATAAACTTACTGTTTGTTTGCCTTTATATTTTGCTGGGCAATGCAATGTGCATGTACTTAATAACAAAGATCAGTTGTAAAAGGGAAGGATAAATAATTAAATTTGACTTATTTCTGTTCCCCCTGTATTTTTATTATTGCATTTAATTTTAATTAAGCAACAATAATTTGTTTTCGGAGGAATATATTTAAAAGTTATATTAAGAATTTAATTCGAATTCAAAAATAAATTAAAATGTAGCAACTCCTACACAAAAAATTTCATTATCATTATCGTTCAGTGTTTTTCCTAATTCAATTACCGGTTGCATTTGGTAACTTGAAATTTCAATGCAATTTTAATAACAAATAAAGCTTCAAATTCCATATTTCTAGCATAAAATTCAAAATTGACAAAATCAACATTTTTAAACACACTTTCTTTTTAAGAGTTAACTACTTAACTTTCAAACAGTTTTGAAATTTCGTTACTTATAGTTAGAACTGATCTCAATAGTCAGAAATCGAAGATTTTTGAATCTAGAAAAAAAATTATGATCTAAAATCTAAACAGAGAATCAAGAACATTTTTTTAACGACAACATACTTTAGTACTGTACATATTAAATTTCTCGCTTTTTTACAAAAGAAAACCAGAAAAATTTTTGAAAAAAAAAAAATTTTTTTTTTACCCCACTCTATTAAATTATTTCATTGACGCTTTTGTTGCTACCCTCAATTTTAAATTTATTACTTTTTTTTTCATAAAAATTCGGTTCCATTCAAGAAATTATCCATTGTCTTATCAATACAACAAGAAGATGATGCAGAAAAATAAAATTGAGTTAAAGAAGAGAAACTTTTGCTTGGATCTCTTGCTTTATTCGTAAATCGTCTTTTGACTGATTAACAATCTAATTTCAAGTCCATAAATTATGTAGCGTGTAACAAAGTTTTCAACATTTTATTGGCATATTTTTATATTTTATAGTGGTTATTTTTTTTGGCTTTGACTTATTGAGAATTTAAAAAAAATTTAAATAGTAGTGAGAAAATGTCCTTTTTTTGTTTTTCTCTGTGAAAAACAAGAAAAGAAATATTGCAGGTGAGATCAAAACCTAAATGAATCAGGTTATTTTTTTTTTTTTTTCCCATATTAATTTTAAATTTATAAAAATTTGAGAATTTTATGGTCAAATTTTTGTATTTATTTCTTATTTTTGTTGTTATTATTCGATTGTTTTCTTCTTCAAGAGGTTTTTATCTAATCCTTTGAATCAAAGAAAAAATTAAAAAAAAAACTAAGAGAAAAATTTAAATAAATTACACAAGTGTATTTGAATTGTTGCAAAACTTGAAAATGATAAAAAAGTTTTTTTTTGGAGCACATACTTTTTTTTATTAAATATCCTTTATTGCAACATTATATACATATTAATATGCGTTTATTTACATATTGTATGTAACGAGGAAATAATAAACGGATAAAATATTTAATTGAATTGTAATGAGTTTTCTTTATTTTAACGTAAACTAAAATAAATTTCGCTAAAAAAATTTTAGGGTAGAACCGTGATAGTTTAATTGAGATTACAAGAACTTATATAATTTAATTAATTATAATTTGAATTGTATAAATTGTTATTGTATCTTTCGAATACAGCGTAAATTAAAGGACTTTTTAGTAAGAATAATTTATAAATTCTTAATTGAAATGCGATCGCCTCCCAAACTCCACGTACGTTCACAAAACAAACAATTCTAATAAAACCAAAATTTCGAAATTATTTGAAAATAATTTTAATTAAGCATGAAAAAAATATTGCTTGAAAGTTTCGAAAATCAATTAACTATTCGTTAACTAAAAAATAAATTCCAATATGCAAATTATTATTTAGTTATCATCTATCATATATTATAATATGCTATTCTTAATTGAGAAATTTTCCAATACTCAATAATGTAAAAATGGACACATCACAATACGTACAGTAAAAATTTAATTTACACTTTTGTTATAATGAATATCACAAATACATGATAAAATACATTGATCCCCACAAAAAAAAAAATACCAATCATTGAATTCCAATATTTTCTCGTACCATTTAATCAAATTCCAATTCATCATTGGTTCAAAATATAATATGAAAAAAAAATTAAATTGCACTTTTAAGACACGAACATTGTATGAAGTTGTGTGGAAATTACAAAAAAAAAATTTTCTTTTTGCAAAATTTAAACCCGCTGGCGTTAATGGAGTTTGAATTTTTAATTTTGAATATGAATATCAAATCAATGTTTATATTTACTTCTGATTTTTCTCCCTTACTACCAATTAGGAGCAATGAGGGAGAGAATTCCGGGTTTCCGTTTTTTATTGAATATCAAAAGTTGAACTACAATTTTAATTAGCTTTCTTCTGTTTCAAAAATTACAGTATTCTTTTAGGTAATTTTGGTTATTTTACACTTCTAAACCATTCGAAATTTTCTTTGAGACTAATATTGCTTTCTCCCGAAGAGAGACTATATTCGTCTAAAAACGTATGTTTGCTCATTTTTCGACTGTATAAAATATAATTCTTAATTCAAATGTTTTGAAACTTTGAGAGCCATTTAAGCTTGAAATACTATGAGTATATATTTTAAGGAAAAGTGATTATCTCAAAACTGAAAATAAAAAAAAAAAATAATTTTTCATAACATACCCAGTTGGCTTATTAAAACTGATGAAAAAGAAAAAAAAATTTTTTTGTAAGATTTTTTGTTTTTGTAGAAAAAAGCATTGATCGTCGTTAATAGTCATATACATATACATACATGTAAGTACTTACATACCACTTCTATTTTTAAATGATTTTTTACACCAATAATAGCCAATAAGGAGGTTTAACTTGTTAAGCTACTATTTATGGGAATATCTTAATTAGTTTCAAGTATAATATGTAAAGAGAAAAGATGTAAAAATTTTATTTACTACGAAATTTATAAAACGAATTTCGAATGCAAATGGGCACAAAAAATTATAAAAAGTACAAACAGAAAGTTCCTTTGTATATAAGAGTATGTTAGGGAAATAATACCTAAATCTTTTTGCTGTAATACCTAGGTTTTTTACATAAATCTTTGTCCTGTAAAATTTTTAGTAACTACACAAATTTTCACGACTCTACTCAGGCATTGCTTGTTATCTAATGAAGTTCAAATTTGACAAATTTAGCCATCTATTTTTTTTTGTTTGAAATATTCAAACAAATTTTCAATACAGAAAAAAATATTCAGAGTATTTGTTATTGTTAATTATTCATTTTATGTCACAATAATTACATTTTTTTTGTTACGTCACAAAATGTTATTGTAATTTCAATAAAAAATCTGTAGCACACCAATCAGTGTGTATATTTTAAATGTAACACAAAAATCGTAACATTCGTGCTATATATTCATCATCGGCAACACCGTAGTAGTTCTCAATATTTGTAATTTACATGCAGAACTTAAGATTAAGACAGCAATACATCTGATTTACTTAACTGAATGAATTTTCACACTTCTAAAAAATTAAATTTTGACTTCGCAAAACTGATAAATCACATCAACCTAAAGGGATAGGCACTTAAAAACTATATTATTTTGCTTACGTTTCAATTAATGAGAAAATACCATGTTAAAACTGTTTATTTTATTAAAATAAAATTTTTGAAAAAAAAGTAATGCAATCAACAAAAAAAAAACAAAAATTAAAATAAAAATATGCAACAAAAACATATTGCAAAAATCAGACGAAAAAAAGTTAAAGTAACCCAAACAATTTTAGTTA